AGTACCTCCATTAAAAATAAATAAACCTAATTACTTACCCACCACCCCAAAGACAGTGTGAGGAAATGGATTCAGGAGCTTTTTATGTCCCTGAAAGGAAGCCACATACAAGGTTAAATTTATGTGTGTGTCTGTACCCAAGTGCATTTGTTCTAAGCTGGAAACAGGAAACCCAGAATAGGCCGAAATGATTGAAACACTTCACGCTGAAAAGTTTCCTTCCTTGGCCTTTTTGCATTTCTTTCCATTCTCACCCAATAATTGAGTTTGAAAACTGATGGCGGGGCAGACGGCGGGCATCCCTGAGTAGTTGCAATCCTTAGTGAAATCATTATTATTCCCCAAGCAGGCTTGGGATTTGCCTGTAGGTCGGTAGTCATTCGGTCTTCAGCCTGCCTTAGTGCAGAGGCTCACCCACCGCCCCTCACCCCAGTGGTACCCAGCACCCCTGATGCCTAAGGCTTTCTAGTTCCGTCTCTCCATGGAGGAAGCCTAGATGATCAAAAGTTAAATAAATAGCCCAAAGTGTTGCATTCTGAGCTCAGGCCGTCTGAGTCCAGAGCCTACAGTTAACAGGGCACTGCACCCCACCCCAGTGGGAGGCGTGGTTACAGTGACACAGTGGCAGACATACATCACCGTGGGGCCTTGGGGCTTATACAGTGCTGGCGCACGTGCTATGGTCTTTTTTTTTTTAACCACATTTCATGCTCGTGGGACACTAGCTGATGGCAAAGGTGAAACACTGTAATACACAGCGTGAAATCCCTCCGGACGGGCGGGAGCTCTTCCGCATTACTGTTCACTCCCATCCTAGGACTTAGGTTCTGGCCCCTCCCTGGGTCTGTCACTGGCTCAGTGGTTTCCAGCAAAGTGCACAGTCTGGGTCGGGGTCCTATGTAGTTTCTGGCCCCTGAAGGGCAGGCAGACCTTCCCAGGAGTGCTGTGCTCAGGTGGTGAGAGCTCCGACCCTTCTTAGGACTCCCTGTCATTCTTCTTGCTGGAGTTGGACAGTGGAAGTTGGCCTTGGGTCCCTGGACTCTTAGGTCCCTGAGTAAAAAGAGACGTAAGCAAATTCTACCCCAACTGAGCTTACGTTTGATAGGTATTTAGTGTTTGGAAAGTGTTATGGACTAAATTGTGCCCCCACCCCCCACTAATTCATATACTGAAGCCCTAACACCCAATATGATTGTGTTTGGAGGCAGGGGCTTGACAGAGGTAATTCATATTCAAAAAGGTCATATGAAGGGGGCCCTAATCTGACAGGACTAGTGCTTTATAAGAAGAGGAAGAAACACCAGAGATCTTTTGTCTCTCCCCCCATGCAGAGGAAAGACCAGGTGAGGACACAGCAAGAGGTGGCCGTTCATAAGCCAGGAAGAGAGCCCTCACCAGAACCCAACCCTGATGGCATCTTGACCTTGGACTTCCCATCCTCCAGAACTATGACAAAATGAATTTCTGCTGTTTAAGCCTCTGAACCTGTGGAATTGTGTTATGGCAGCCCAGGCATAAAGTACCAGGGGTCACTGTGAGAAGAGAGGAGAAAGGAAAGTGAGAAAATTGCTCACAGGACAGGAAAACTGAATGATTTTGATCATCAGTTTGAACTCTTGTTACTGATTTAACAAGCTGAGACCACTTCTATTTTTTAAGGACTCCAGCAAAGGGAAGCCTACGTCCCCTGAGACTCCCCTTGATGATGACTTGTCTCTTCTCGACCCTGTCTAAAGCCTTTCGCCTCCTGAGGCGCGGAGCGTCCTCCCCGAGCAAGTCTCAGCCTGGCGCCTCCACCAGCGGCTGTTGCTCAGAGTCTGCCCTAAATAGGGCTGCATCCCTCCCAGGGTGTTTTCATTTCTCCTGTGAACCAAATGCTTCAATTCTCAGTTCTGGTTTTAATTGGACAACTGGGTAATGTATCTCCATATTTGAACCATCTCTCTGCCGTATTTCTGAATCCCCAGGAGAGTCTGCCCTTCCTTGGCTCTTGGAATTAGGGATGCATACAGCCCCACTAACTGCTCCCGGGGCCTGGTCCTTGCTCCCACAGCTAACCCTGGGTGTCTGTATCTGTTATCTAGTGCCACTTGACACAGTACCACGACGTTAGTGGTTTAAGCTACATACATCTATGATCTTCACTTCCTTGGGTCAGGAATCCAGCTTAGCCAGGTTTCTTTCAGGGTCTCTCACGAGGCTGCATGAAGTTGTCTTATCTGAAAGCTTGACTGGGGAAGGATCCACATTCAAGTTCACCCAGGTCATCGTGAGAATGCTATTCCTTAAGGGCTGCTGGACTGAGGGCCTCCGTGCCTCTCTGGTTGTGGACCAGAGGCCCCCCTCAGTTCCTGGCTACATGGCCTCTACAACATGTCTGCTTACTTTGGTCAACCATGAAAGCCAAAAGGGCACATAGAGGAAGTCGGCTTGCAAGACAGAGGTGACAATCTTGTAACCTGATCATTGAAATGTCATCCCATCATCTCTGCCATTGTCCTGTGGATCAGAAGTAAGCCACCAGGTCCAGATCCCTCGAGGGGGGGTGTGGGCTGATTACCAGAGGACGTGAATATCAGAGGTGGGCACCCTCAGGAGCCGTCTTAGAAGCTACCTACTCCAGTGCTGCTGAGCAGAAAAGAAGCCATTCTGAGCCAGTAGTCACCTCTCTGTTTCTTCTGCATCCCTGGAAGAACTGTCTACCTTCTAGTTTCTTAAGAAAAGAAAACTTAGAAGGTGATACTGATTTGATTGTGATCATCAGCTTTTTAGAAGTCAGGTCGATTCTGTCTATGAAATTTCTGCCGCATTCCTGACACCTGTCACCCACACAGACACTCGAATGACTGACAGGTACCTCCTGTTAAATGCCTCCAAGATGGAACTTACATAATGTCTGCCCAATGCCACTCTTTCTCTCTCATGAAATGGACCATCTTATCTGATTTCTCAGGCCAGAAAATAAGAAGTTACCCCTGACTCCTTCCCCTCTCTTACTCTGCCTTCAGTGAATAAAATATTAATAAGTATTTCAATAAATGATGGTAAGTTTAGTAGAAGTGGACCTACATATAGGGCTGGAGGGGTAGTCAGTTGATGATAATGGAGGCGGAGTCACAAGGAAATTCCCATGTGAATTGGGTAAATTAATTTACCTTGCTAAGATCTAGCTTTCTTTACTAAAAAAGACGGGATAATCCTAGGAGACATAGGACAAAGAGTTGTTGTGAGGATCAAATGAAATGATATTGATAAATTCTTGGTATATGATTTTACATCTTAGGAGCCCTCAATATGTTAGCCACCACATCAACTGTTGGAGAGCCACATTGTGGCGTTGTTTTTTGCTAACTCAACCGTCTCTTCTCTCTTCCACTTAAGAGGCTGAAAAACTAAATACACATTTCCCCAACCTCTCTT